TCGGGTCGGGCGAAAGGGGGGGATTGGGAAAGGGGGGGTTACGAAATTTGCTGCATGCAGCTGGTTTCGGCCTCACCGAGGGGCCCATTCCTCGATACATGGCCGCCTCCGGCGCCGGGAGGCGCCGTGAAAATCAGCTACGTGAGCTGATTCTCAAACCCCCCCTTTGCTATCCCCCCCTTTCGCCCGACCCGATATTCATTCAACGCCGTTGGGGGAGGCAGATACCGCCGCCCCACTTTTTGTTGGAGCCTGGGCTTTTTGGGAGGGCCCAGCACGGCCCCAAAGGGTCCAAGAAGACGCGGAGAAGAGCACAAGAAGATCCCCATGGGGGCCCCAAGAGGGTCCGAAATCGGGCGAAAATGGCACCCACGAATGTCGAAAACGGCGGAGGAAACCGAAGAGGGATACAGAGAGGCAGACAGGAGCATCGCCACTCAGGTTTGTGGCCTCAGAAGGCCTTCTAGGGACCCCCTGGGCGCGCCCGCGACCGCTCACGGCAGCACCAAAAATAAGTCCAGACGGGCGTGGAGGGCCCCGAGAGGCTGTCAGGGCGTCCGCAGAGAGCATCCGCAGATTCCAAGATGGCCGCAAGAGCCTGCGAGGATACACGGGTGCTCCAAGAGAGGCGCCAGGAACAGCCCGATAAGGACATACTATTTAGAATATTATGTGTCTTATAATGCTTGTTGTTTGTTGGGGATCTCTGGTGTATGAGACTGGAAGAGATGTGGAGAGGCATCCGGGACGATCGTTGGTGGCCCGAAGGGCGGTCAAGATCAGCCCAGAAAGAGCCCCGAGAGGCCCCCCAAACTGACCCAGTAGACTCCTGGAGGGGTGTCTGAGAGGGCTGGTGGCGCTCGGAAGCCGAGCACGTGAAAGGGGGATCGCTTTGGGACGGAAATGGTGGCAAGAAGGCGTCCCGGCCGCAGCCCTGCCCCCGGGCCGGCGGAATGAGCAGGCCGCGGGGAGGACCTCAGGAGGGTTTGCCAGGGCTCTGAGCAAGGGCACGAGTACGAGGAGTGCGTGCGCAGGAGACTGAGGGGACAGAATTCGTGCAGACCTTACGGCGGAGATCCGTTTCGCATCACTGGCTGCGTGGTGGTGTGCCCGTGGCCGGGGAGAACGGTAGGGCAGGCAAGAATATCCTCGAGGAGATCTTTGGAGATGTGGCTCCCACCCTGTCGAAGAGATCCGACATATTGCCCTAGAGGGCGCCAAGATGGCTCAAGAGAACTCCAGCAGAGTTTCGAGACGTACCTGGTTTGTGGGTCAGAGTCCTTATGGATGCTATGGTGGGTCTCTTCGGAGGGCTTTCGGGAGCCTCTGGGGAGCAGTTTTGAGGCTGCTGGGGAGCCTCTTGGGGGCTTCTTGGGCACCTCGTGGAGCTTCCAGGGGTCCTGTCGGGGGTCTCGGGGGCCTCTTCGGGGGCCTCTTGGGGGCCTCTTGGGGGCCTCTTGCGGGGCCTCTTGGGGGTCTCTTGGGGGTCTCTTGGGGCCTCTGGGGGCTTCCTGGGCACCTCTTGTAGCCTTGGGACGTCTTAGGGCCATATTTTGCAATGTTTGGGCTCTATTGGAAGCTTTTTGGGCCGTCTTGGAGCCATCATGGGGCCTCTTGGGCCGTCCAGGGCGGTCGGCAGCTCGAAAAGGCGGTACAGCCAAAATCGTCCGAAAGCCCGCGGAAAATCAATGACCTTTGCGTTTTCGGAGCCTCTCGACGTCCTCTTGGAACCCTCCTTGGGCGTCTTTGGCGTTTCATTGGCCGTCTTGGGACCCATCTGGGGCATCTTGGAACGCTTTTGGCCTGAGGCCGCGGGGCCTGCCACCCATTTGGCGCCTCATTGGGGCGCTCTAAGAGCCCCCGAGGCCGCGCCCAGGAGTTCCGGCATCTCTGATCCCCTCCAGAGCCGCAGGACTTCAGAGATTCTCGATTCATCCTCACCCAAATTCACCGAGGTCGTTCCACTACTTGCACAGTGCCTACTCGCAAACGTCCGAACAACTCATGCCTGCTTCGATGTAACCTGTCGTAGATCCCCCGCGGCGGATCCAGGCCACTTGCGAGCAGTTACTCTGCGAGTCGTGGAACGCGCTCGTCTGCGAATTTGTCCTCGCCCTGGCTTTGTCTTGACGTTGGGCTCCGGAGGGGCTCTGGTTTCCGGGCCGCGCCCCGGATCCTGGGCCCCGGGGGCCCTCTCGTGGCCGAGGCTCGCTCCTGCGCTCCTCGTCTCGCGGCCCTCCTGCCAGCACGACGGCTGCGGGCCCACCAGGGAAGGCTCTGAGAGCCTTTTGCGGCTCGTGCGAGCTGTGCTCAGAGTATGAGGGGAACAAAAAGGGACATAAACATTCAAACTCGGAGGTCCGCGCGGATTTCTCGCATCGGCGCTGGGCCCCCTCGGCGGCGCCTCCGGTGCCGCCCCTGGCGCGCGCCGCGCGCTCCGCGCGGAGCTCGGAATTTGTGATTATGTTTTTATGTCACTTTTTGTGGTTCCCCTAAAAATGTTCTGGCCGAGGCAGTCTTGTCCTGATGCATCGCACCGTGGCCAGGAAAGCACTTCAGTTCCTTGTTTGGCGCTCCTTCTGGCAGCACGGCGACTGCAGGCCCCGCAGGGGAGGTTCTGATACCACTCTGCGGCGTGCACGAACTGTGTGCTCAGAGTGCTTCCGGTTTGGGCAGTCTTGTCTGAATGCATCGGCATGCTCTCAGAGCCTAGACGTGGCCAGGACGGCCCCTTCGTTTCTCGTTGAGCGTTCCATCTGGCAGCACGATGACTGCAGGCCCACCAGATAAGGTTCCAGTAACCATTTTGCGGCTTGTGTGAACTGTGCTTGGAGAAATTCTGGTTGAGGCAGTTTGGGCTGAATGCGCCGGCTTGCTCTAAGAGCATGGCGTTTGTTATTGAAGTTTCTTTGCGTTGCGTTCTACGAACATGTCTTGGTAGGCCTATGAGAATGCCTGGACGGTCGGTCCCTGCTCAGGGCATGTACCTTCGGGCGCCCAATTTACCACCCGATCTTGCTCCTCCCCGCAGCACGCCAACATCGTGACTGGCACTGGTGCCTCCCAAATCGCGTCCGATTAGCCTGGCTCGGGGGATCGCGCCGCATCGTGGATGCATCGGCGATGCGGCTCGATGTGGAGCACATTTTCTCTATGCCAAGGGCGCCCTCGAGGGCGCGAAGTTATTCGTGCTTCGCGCTTCGCGGTTCGGCTCCCATTCCTCCTCATCCTCCCCTTCTCCCCTGGGAGGCGGCGCGAGAGCGCGAAATTCGCACTTCGCGCTCTCGCGCAGCGCGAAGCGCGAAGTGGAAAGCCCTTGCTATGCCAGCGTGGCCGATGCATCGCCGACGCCGCCGATGCATCGTTGAGGCGCCGGCGAGGCACCAGGCAATGCGGCGCGAGCCGCCGACCACCGTCTGCTCGGACCCCACACGGGAGGCCTCTGGGCACGCAGTCGTCTTCCGATCTCAGGAGGGAAGAAACACACACAGACACAATTCATCGTCGATCCCCTCGTGGGGGGGAAGAGAAAAAAGCAAAAAAAAAATAAGGAAATGTGGGAATCCAGTTGTTTGTGCTCTTCACGATCGTGCTCAGCTTGTCTAAAGTCTGGAGTGGCAGTGGATCGGGCCAGGCGCTCGAGGTCAGGCTTAAGTCGGGCCTGTCCCTCTACAGGAGGAAAATTCAAAAATAGTCAAACAATAGTCTGGGGACTGTTTTTTGAGTATGTGATTGACCATTGTGGAGCGTTTTTGGAGTATTTTACATTTTTCGTCGAAAATCCCCCTGTAGGGGGACACGTCCGACTTAAGGTCAGGCCCCCGCTGGACGAGCCAGCAAGGAGCCGTGCACCGGCCTTGGAGGAAGGGGCACGACCCCGGGCGCCAGAGGGCGAGCAGCAGTGCCCCGTGCGGAGAGCAAGGCTGGAGGCGCCCGCCTCGCGGCGCGAGTGCGCCACGAAAGGCAGGCCTCTTCGCGGGTGCCAGGCGTGGGCGGCGAGCCCTCGGGGGAAGCGAGAGGGAGAAGGCCTTCCCAGAAGGCTCGGGAGTCCCCCGGCCTTCGGAGGAGTGTCCTGAGCCTCCCCCGAGGGCGCAGGACACTCGGCAGAAGGCGCGAGGGCCTCTGAGAGGTCCCCCCCTGCGCTCGCCACCGAAGGTGGGCTTCCCGGAAGGCACCTGCGGGCGCATGTGCAGCGTCATGGCCACACTTCCCGCCGAGCCCGAGCTCCGCACCGTCATCCTTCCACCCGTCAACGTGCACGAGGCTGGAGGCGGCTCGAAGTATTGGCCAGGTTGGACCCAGGAAGGGATCTGGGGACAGGATTGGTTGCGCGGTTTTCAGGCTGCGTAGATCGACGTCCTCCTCTCCCTCGCCCTGGTCGTCGTCCTCTCTCTTCGCTCTGCCCCCTCGTCCTTCTCGTGTCGGTCCTCCTCCAGCTTGTGCTCCCGTGGGTCCTGCTCCTCGTACTCTGTGCGCTCATCCCCAGGCTCCCGTTGCTCCTTCTTCTCTTTCTCCCTGCCTACCTTCCAGCCGGGCCTGTCCCTCCACATTCAGAAGTCGTCAAAAAATAGTCAGGGGACTTTGTTTTATTTATAAAGTATGTTTGGGCGTACTTGTCTCAGCATTTTTGTTGGGTCTTGTTTCTAGTTCGTCCAAAATCCCTGTAGCGGGACAGGCCCGACTTGAAGCCTACCTCCCCCCCCTCGCTGGCCGCTTTCGCTTCCCGAGGGCTCCCGAGGCCTCCGGAGGCCCTCGGAGGCGCAGCGCGTGCGGACGCCTCGCTCGCCGAGGGCCGAGGCTCGAGGACGGGTGGCCTGGCTCGCCGCTGCTCCTCCCGCCGGCCGCTTCCGCAAGGGCGCCCTCGGAGGGCGCGGAGTCATTCGCGCTTGTCGGTTCTCAAGCAGTGGCGACGCGTGCCGGCTCGCCTACAGCCCCACCAAGCAATGTTCTAAGAACCCTCTGTGGTTCCCACGGAATGTCCTTAGACCATTTCTGGCGGAGATTTGTCTCGTTTTCGCACATCGGGCTCATGTTCTAAGAACAGTGTTTTTGTTCTTAGAACATTTTTGGGTTCTAAGAACATTTCGCTGTATGACTGTAGGAATGCCGGGACAGTCGGTCCCTGCTCAAGCGGAGTTATTCGCGCTTCGCGGTTCGGCTCCGATTCCTCCTCATCCTCCTCTTCTCCCCTGGGAGGCGGCGCGAGAGCGCGAAGTTCTTCGCGCTCTCGCGCAGCGCGAAGCGCGAAGTGGGGAGCCCTTGCTTCCGAGGCTCGGGCTGCGGGCGGTGCTGTTCGTCCTTGCGCAGCGGGGGGCAAGGGGGAGTTTGATGGACCTCCTACCCTGACACGTCGATTAGTGAATTGGCCGTTTTCGGTTCGCGAGGGGGCGTCGCGGCCATTCTTTGTTGCGGGTCCAGGTCCGTCGGTTTCGGTCCTAGGCCGGTTTTTTTATTACAGGGTGGTCAACCAAAGGGAGGCTTGTCCACCGCCGAGCAGAGTTGTGCGCGCGGCCACGCTGTACCACGGCACTGGGGCCCTCGATGGCCCCCTACCTGGCTTGCGACGGGTGGAGGGCAAGATGCAAAAAGGAAGAGGGGGGGCGAAAAGGTGCCGTTACGGCTGCTCCTGGACCTTTCGAGTAGTGCGTTCTGGCCAGAATTTCGAGGCGACTCCAGCCGTCGCGCCGCGGGAAGGGCAGCGGCACCCGTACACACCTTTCCCTCTTCTGAGCAAGGGGGCAGGAGGAGAACGGCCACACGGCGACACGGATGGCCGGCCTCCTCCGCTTGATCTTCCTGCACGGCTGGGTCGGGAGAGGCTCTCCCCCCGAGCCGAGGTCCCTGCAGAACTTGGGCGACAAGGCTGCCATCGGGAGGAGGAGAAGGAGGGGGAGCGGGAGGAGGACCACCAGGGGTGGGCAACGTCAGGAGGGGATGGTCTCAGGGGGGGACGTCCTGACCCCCCATAGCCCATGGAGTGCCCATGTGGAGCCTGATAGCCCCACCAGGCCCAGGCACGTGCGGAGGCGCCATCGGGGGCCTATCGCCGACCCGTCGGCGATGTTTCGCGCATTCCAGGTCGACGTTTCCCCCCCTGAGCTGGTCCCCCCCGAACGGTCCCCTTCAGACGGGGGGGTCATGGAGGACCGAGGTTTCTAGACATGTTTGGCCTTCTGCGGAGGCCGGCGGACTGCTAGGCTCGGTGACGGGTGCGATCAAGGTGGCGCCCGTTGAGGAGTTTCATGTCTAGTTGCGCCACGGGCTGACAATCTCACAGCTGGTGACTTCTGTGATGGGCCGATTTTCCACTACCGGTACCATAGTAGAAGGGAAAAGGGGAGGATGAGGCGAAGGAAGGGGAGGAGGAGGAGGAGGAGGAGGAGGAGGAGGAGGAGGAGGAGGACCTCCCCATCCTCCCTTCTCCCCGTCCTATGGTAGTGTTGGTGAGAAGGTGTCCCATCGTTCTGGTGAATCAGAGCTGCAGAATGCTTTGTGACAGCCGCTCCTGGACGCCACGAGCCGTGGAGGGCGCCCTCCGCGCATCGGCCAGGACCCCCAGCAGTGGTGGCACGATAGAGCTGCGACAGCACCGTGAGATCTGCAACTGTAGTCGCTGCAGCTCCTCATTATCCTCCTCCTCCTCTTCCTCCTCCTCCTCCTCCTCCTCCTCCTCCTCCTCCTCCTCCTCCCCCGCTCATCTTCTCCTGTCGCTCTGTGCACGGCAGCGTCGTCGCCTTGCACGCGCCCCCCCCGCGAAGGCGGCCAGTCGCGGCCATCAGAGGATTGTTTCCCCTTCGGTCTGGGTCAGGGGCTGCGGCTCGCAGGCTCTAGGCCCACCACGAGTGTGCGAAGTTAGTCGTGCTTCGCGGTCTGGGCGATTTCAGAGCGAGGCGCGAGTCCCCCATCTCATCTTGTTCCGGGGGGGGGGTCGCGAAAGCGCGAAGATGATCGAGTTTCGCGCGCTTCGCGGAGCGCGAAGAGCCAAGATAGCTGCCCTAGCTGGTGTAGTCGCTGCAAGCCTGGACGCGCAGATGCCCAACCACTATCAGTCTGGTGAGAGTCAACGTTGTTGGAAAGACGGACGGGGGTCTGCGTCGAGACGAACACGTCGCAGCGGGTTAGATAATCGGATTGTTGGGCCGAGCATTTGGCAAAACCGAGTGCCAGTAAGATGCCGCTGTCGGCACACGGGATATTCCGCTCATATCCTTGCGCCGTGCGTAAGAAGCCATGGCGTCTGTGGACGCATATTCAGAGTTGGTGTGCAATTGTCTTCCTCACAGATAGTTGAACCACTGATCTCCTGTCGGTCAAACACAAGCCTGCGAGGAGACTGAGGAAGAGGAAGAGGAGAAGGAGAAGGAGGGGTAGGGAAGACGAGGAGGAAGGGGAAGGAGGACGAGGATGATAAGGAGGCGTAATTATGGCCTCGAGCAGGGTGAGGGTGATGATAAGTAGGGGAACGAAGAATGACATAAACACAAAAACTCGGAGGTCCGCGCGGATTTCTCGGATCGGCGCTGGACCCCCCTCCCTGGCGCGCGGGGCGCGCCAGGGGCGGCGCCGGAGGCGCCGCCGGGGGGCCCAAGCGCCGATGCGAGAAATCCGCGCGGAGCTCCGAGATTTGATGTTTATGTCATGTTTTGCTCCCCTAATGATGAGGCGGATAGGGGGAGGGATGAGGATGCGAAGGAACGAGCATGCGCAGGCTCGCAGTCGGAGGGGGGCCTCCTCTGGCCCGAGCAGGCGTGCCTCGCTGCGTGTGCTTCCCTCTCCTCGCTCGCGTCTCCTCCTCCTCCTCCCTTCTCCTCCTCCCTTCTCCTCCTCCCTTCTCCTCCTCCCTTCTCGAGAGATCCTCCTCCTCCCTTCTCCTCCTCCTCCTCCTCACAGGAGGGGAAAAAACACACAGACACAATGAATCGTCGATGCCCAGGAAAATATTGGGAACATGCGGGAAGTTGTGGGGAAGACAGAAACCCAGAACATGTACGACAATCTGGGGAATCCTGTTTTTTGTGTGCATTTGTTTGTGTTTCCCAGGGCCCCTTCGTGATTGCTCCTTGCTCCCACTCTCCGCAGCCTCTAACCCTTCATCCTGAGGACAGGGAACAACATCAGGAGGAGCGGCCAGAGGATTGGACGGCGGAGCAGCAGGACGGGGAGGAGAGGCAGGAGCTGGGAAAGGAGGCAGCGGGAGAGGAAAGGCTCTCTCCTCACACTCCTTGGCCCACCTCCCTTCCCTTTCCCGCGTCGGGGCTGCGTGATGCACTCTGAGCGTCCCCGGACGGCGGGCAGCAGAGGCATCTCGAGCAGTGATCCGCTCCCAGAGATCCGATGTCGTGATTTTTTCAATACGGGGTCTCCGGAAGTCTCAACCCCTTTCCAATGACCGGTTTTGCATCCCGAGTCGTTTTTTGACGGTCCCGAGGCCCGGTGAGGGCTCCTCGAGGCCGAGAACTGCGAAAAGCCTCCGTCTTGATTTTTTCAATGCGTTGGCTCTCTGGGCTTGACGCGGATGGAGCTCAGACGCTGTCTGACGCTCCCCCGCACTGCAGCAGGTGATGGCGGCTGCTCGCGTCCTGCTCCGGGTCGCCCGCGCGGGCGCGAGGATGACACAGCCACAATGCATCGTCGATCCCCCCCAAAAAAAGATGGGGAAAATGTGGGAATTGGGGGGGAAGACAGAAGCCCAGAATCTATATATATATATATATATAGGGAAATAGGGGGGAATCTTTTTATCTGTGTGTGTTTATTTGATACGGGAATCTATGGGGAGTATTTCTATCTGTGTGTATTTAGCTGTGTGTCCCAGGGCCCCATTCAGGAGAGTCGCGCGCCGCGGCCTGGGCCAGGGCGTTGCGCCCTTCGTGCGGCGGCGCGGGAGCGGCGCGGAGGTGGGCGCGCTCCTTCGCGCAGCGCGGAGCGTTCGACGCAGGGCGGCGGCCTCGGGGCGCCCGCGGGGCGCGGCTCCCGCGTGCGGCTGCCTCTGGACTCGGGCAGCTATCCTGAAGTCGGGCCTGTCCCCCCACAGGGGGATCCCCACGAAAAATCAGAAATACCCCAAACGTGGTCAAACAATGGTCCAAAAATAGTCTGGGGGCTATTTGTGTTAGCATGTGTTGGACTGTTTGGAGTACTTTGGTTTTTTTTTGTAGTTTTCGTCGAAAATCCGCCTGCAGGGGGACACGCCCGACATAAAAAGCTATCCGTACCTCCGCCACCTGGGGGATCGATCGTCTCGGGGGTCCTGGCAGGTGGTGTTGCATGGATCTGTACGTGTCAAGCAGCGGCGAAGCGTCCTGGCTCGCCTATAGCCCTACCAAACAATGTTCTAAGAACATTTTGTGGTTTCCACGAGTTGTTCTTAGAACATGTCTGGCGGATATTGTCTTGTTTTAGCACATCGGGCTTATGTTCTAAGAACATTGTTTTTGTTATTAGAACATTTTTGGGTTCTAAGAACATTTCGTTGTATGACTATAGGAATGGCAGGCACGGTGGTTGCGACATTTTGCCTCTGTGTTCCGAGGGCGTTTCGTTGACAAAGAGGAGCTTTATAACACCCCGTCTTCAACTTCCCCCAGTCCCGTCGACGGGGGGTTTCCAGTCCACCCCGACCTCCACTCTCGCGTCCTTCAGTGCCCTGCGCAGGGGTAAAGGGGTCGGCGGCGATCGGATTCCTGCGGAACTGTTGCAAGCGGGAGGCATGGCCCTTGCCGCCCAGTACGACCGGTTGAACAATAAAATCGTTGAGGCCGAACGTTGGCCCATCGAGTGGATGGGGGCTCGGATGCAGGACTTGTGGGAAAAGAAAGGTGATCGAGGCGTGTGCGACAACTCACGTGGCATTCAAATCCCGCCCCATGCGAGCAAAGGACTGTGCCTTCAGCTGAGAGGCGTCATTGACCCGATTTATAAAGAGCGGCTGCCCCCCAGCCAGCATGGGGCCGTCAAGGGGGGAGGTACAGATTATGTTCATCTTCTCATTCGTGCCGCGATCGTGTATGCAAACTTGCACTGTTTATCGATTTTCGCTTTGTTCTTGGACTTGACCAAGGCGTTTGACCAGATCTTTCGAGAGCTGGTGGTTGGCTTCCACGATGCCCCCGACCCGTTGCAGCATTTGCGCGATCTCGGCATAGATGTCGGCACCGCTACTTGGCTTGTCAACTACATACAAAGCAATGGTCATGTGTTCCGGCAGTGGGGCGTTTCACCGAAAATCACCAGGTTTGTGGCCAAACTGCACCAAGGCTCTTGGTTTTCATATGGTGATCAGCCCAAAGTTGTCGCCAGCAAGTTAGGGGGGAGGCAGGGATGCGTTCTCGGTGCGACCATGTTTAATTGTGGCTATGCTGTTCCATTGCACGTCTTGCAAGCTGAACTTGCCGCTGCGGGGATATTGTTACGAGCGCATTACTCCCCGGACCCGGTGTGGGCATCGACGCGTCCAGCTCCTGCGGAGCCAGTGGACGTCATCGACGCCACGTTTGTTGATGACGAAGCGGTTGTGTTGACAGCCGAGTCCCCTGCATTGCTCGATCGTGTCATTCACGTTGTTCTGCGCACGGTGCAGCGGATCTTTACTTTGTTTGCGCTCAACATCAATTGGTCCCCTGGCAAAAGCGAGTGCCTGCTCAGGTACCGGGGGCGAAATGCCACGAAGTTTTGGGCTAAGCACAGGCACGAGGATGGATGCTACATATCCACTCCGTCGTGTCCGGACATAAAACTGATCATCGTCGAGCGTTACAAGCACTTGGGTAGCTACATCAGCCTGAAAGGCACTTGCCTTGAGGATGGCAGCCACCGGGCCGAATCGGCAATGAGTGCGTATGTGCCGTTGGCACGCACGATTT